GTTTAATTTTGTATTATATTTCACGATATATAAATGAAGAGTGATTTTGAGCTACATGTGGCAAATTTATAAAATAAGAATGGAGAAATTCAAATAAAACTTGTCTAGCTATGACATATAGTTAATTTGAGTAGGAAACTTAATTACCTTTTGTGTTCAACTTTGTGCTTTGGTAGATCAAATATACTCAAAACATAATTTCTAGTAATTGATGATTTTCTAAAAAATATTTTGATATATATTTGTGGTGTAGAGGAAAAGAGAGGACAACAATTGCCCTTATATACATGCAGATCAGAGATGGCTGAGCTTGTGGGGGGGTTTTTTATAATTGTTTAAAAAAATAATTTAGTTAATTAAAATTAAATAAATAAGTAAATGCATATATTTAAAAGAAAAAAATGACAAGTGGCGGTAGGTAACAAGCATACAAATTGCTCTAACACACTAACAAGTAACACGAGTTTTGGGTTTCCTTTATTTTATATTTATGCTTTTTAACATTTTATTCCTATTAATTTAGGGCTTTTCATAACTTAATTAGCTCAAATTTGTTAGTAGTAATTAAACTGCAAAAATGAAGAAGGTGGGAAAAAATAAAAAGACAATTTGGTAAAATTGATATAGAATTGCTGATATATGGACTGATCACTCACAATAGTTGGCATCCTCAAATTTGGGTCCAATTAGTATTTCACATTAATGAGTTTTTAAGTCTTAACCTGATAAGTTAAATAAAGATTGTACCTAAAAGAAAAATTGTTATGTGATGTTGTTTAACAGTTAGATGAGTCAACCGCCATATAATTCTAATCATTAGGCCTATATAACAACAATTTTATTGTGTCATATAAATTTTTGTGTAAGGTGACCTAACAGTTAGACAAATCAACGGGTCGTACTTTTTTTTAACAAATACATGTGTATGTTATGAAAAGTTATACTTTTATTCATATTAATATTTTCTAAAGTATAATAATTTTAATTTAAAAGTATATATATTTATTGGGGGGAAACAAAACTATACATCAGCCTAATTGTTAAATCAACAAGTCTTCGTGCAATGATATGCTTTGAATGAGATAGAGAAGTTATTTAATAAACTCACATTTGTAATTCAACCTTTTCTAAAAAATATGAATAAAAGGCAGTCAAATAGCTACATGACTTTTGGCTTCAGATATTTGACTAGTTTTCTTTTGTTTATATGGTGGAAAACTTAATTCTGATTCTATCCATGGGCCCACTTGAATAACATGAATGTATATGACATAAATAGTATCCAAGTAAACTTATATATTTTTTTTTTTATTTGTAAAAATTATATGAATAATATTAATATTACCAAAAACAATAGAGACTACAAAAGAAATTAAAGAATTGTTTGAAGTGTGACCAATAAATATTGAAAAGTAATAAACAAATAAAAATAAACTTGTCAAAAAATTTGAAGAAAAAATTATGATTAAGATTCTATATGTTTATTTATTCCCTATCATATATGACTTCCATTAGACAATCCAAAAATAAGATGCTTGAGTTCTTTTCATAATTTATAATAATTTAATTCACCTCCTTTAGCATGTAAGTATTATGATTTGTTTATCTGTGTTTTGCTTTGCTGGCAATTAATTAGATGGAAACTCACTAGAGAACGAAAGACTTTTCCCCCCAACTAGAAATTGATCATATTCTTAATTATTATTCTCCCTTTAACTAAAACTTTAATCGATACTAATAGTTACTTTCACTGTTTATTTATTTATTTGTTTATTTATGTTTTAGGTTTTGTTTTCTTTGGTTCCATTATATTGATGAAAGATACAGACTTAGCAAATTAAGAGATCGAAATTTTGACAAGTTGGCATACTATTTATATTACAATTAGGGGTGTAGAATTTATAATTGAAAATGAAATAACGGACCGAAATGTAAATTTTTATTGCTTTTTTCTTTCAGTATAAATTAGATTATTTGTTTTTATTTTAAATTTTTTAGTTATTTTGGCTTGATTTCAATTTTAAGCCTAAAAATGTAGGAAAACCAAACCTGCGGAATAACACAAATTATATATTATTATTTATATATGTACCTTAAGATTCTAATATAAACCAATAAATAGTTAATTAATAGAAAATTCAGTATAATAAATATATCCTTTGATATTTTATATTTTAATAAATTTTGGTTAACCGACAGAAGCAATGGTTATTATTAAATACGATTTTGGGTCAAGTAATTTGGTTTGGTCGATAACTCATTCGGTTATTTTAATTATCAGAGTTTGGTCAGTTAAATTTAGCCGAGTTGAACGATATTCACCCCTAATTACAATTAATAAATCGATGTGAAACCAAACAACTCATAATGTTGTGGAAGATAAAACATTTAACTATACTTTGCTAATTAATATACTTATAATTTTTTTATCAAATAAACAATACAAAAATTATTACCATCTTATGGTGCAATAATATGTGTATTAATTTTTTTTTTTTTTTTTTGGG